CCCCTCCTTCCCTGGCAGCCCCTCCTTTCCCCGGCGCCCCCTCCTTCCCCGGTGGCATGCCGACGGGCGTGGCGTGCCGGCGGTCGTAGCGTGGCGGTGGCGGCGGCATGGGCGGTGGTGGTGGCGGAGCAGGAGGTGGCGTTGGCGGAGGAGGTGGCTTTGTGGTGGTGTCGGCGGTGGTGGAGGCAGTGGCATGGGCGGCGGTGGCGGGCAGCGGAGCAAGGTGCTTGTTTTCTTTTATTTTTTTCAAAAAATGTTTGCCAAGTGTGTTTTGGGCATTCGGCAAAGTCTTTGCCGAGTGTCCGACGATTGACACTCGGCAAACAGCTCTTTGCCGTTAAAACCTACGCCGAGTGGTGTTTGCCGAGTATTACACTCGGCAAACCCTTTGCCGAGTGTTTTTGGGGCTTTGCCGAGTGCCCCACTCCTGGTTCCGGTAGTGACTCTTCATTTTGTGGCTGCTAGGCTTGTCGGGGGCAAATACCTAGGGTGCCTCACGTCGTGGCTAATAAAGCACTTTCGGGTGGCCCAGCTGGCCGCAGCTTAGCATCCACAATCCACCTCGACCACTCTCCTCCCTCGACCACACAACAACCGCGGCCCACCTCGACCACCCCTGGCCTCGACCAACCGAATACGGACAGGACCAGGGGTGGATGGCGCATTAAATGCACCTGCCATGACGGGACGCGCACAAACCGCACGCCTTCTCAGGACAAAGAAGGACGACGACCACCTGACAGACCGCAGAGCCTTGGCGTGCATCGACCACCCAACGAACCGCGATGCCTTGGGATGCATCGACCACCCTCCGGACCGTGGGGTCCTGGGGTGAACCTCACCCTTTGGACCGCTCCCATCATGAAGATAAGGAACCACTCCATGACAGAGCAGCGTCAGAACATGGCTCATTACCGCCCAACCTGTGCCTGACTCAACGAGCAGGTGTTCGCCCATGCCTACACGGGCATGGGTCTCACGACCGGGAGTCAATCTCCTTAGAATCAGCCAGGCCAAAGGGCCCTCGACCTGACCGTGAGTGGTCGGGGATAACACCCCCATGACTAGGAAGGCTGGCCATCGGCCGAGGACAGCCGCCCTGTTCACGCGCTGGCACCACGACGCTTCCCCGGGATAGCGGGTGCCAGAACAAAGGCCACGACATGCACTATGCAATCATGTTTTTTAGGACGACAAGTTGACGGCCACGACCCGCACTGTGCCGCTATGGCATACCATACCTTGACGTGAGGAACGATAATCATGGATGATACTCGAACTTGCAATGTAAGCGGTGAAAGGTCCTAAATAGCTAGAGAGGGGTGAATAGTCTATAAAAAATTTCTACAAATACACTAGAGCAAAGGGTTAGTAACCTAAATGGTGAAATACAAATTTGCTCTAGCTCTACAAGGTTGCAAGCCACCTACACCACAATTCTAGTTTTTTATAATCTCTAGACACACACAAAAGGCTATGTCACTAATCTTACTCTAGTTGAGCTAGCTAACAACTAACAAGAGACTAAACAAGCTACTCAACTAACTAGCAAGAGAGCTACTCTACTCAAACTACAAGTATGAATCAATCTAATTCAAGAGTGAGTAGGATAATTATACCGATGTGGCAAGAGAGATGATCAATCAATGAAATCCAAGTGAATACCAAGGTGGCCTCGCCGCTCGCCTCGGCCGCGTGCCGCCGCATGCGCAGGCCGTGCTCGCCAAGCTGCGCCCTCCCGCGCCGGTGGGGCGCCTCGCCTCGTCGCGCTCATTGTGTCGCTTGCCGCTCTCCGCGCCACTGTTGCGCGCTGTGCCTGTTAGTTGAGATCGGGACGCCGGTGGCCGTTTGCTCGTGACGTGAGGAAGGGAGGATGGGGATGAGAGTACGAGACCACAGCAGGATAGAAAAGGTGAATGAATGGGCTAAACTTATTAGGGTCCACAAGAAGAAAGAAACACTGCATCATGTTGCAATTTCTAGGAGCACTTATCTTGTTGATGTGATTTCTACAGAAACTACTCTCTCAACTTGATGTTTTAGGATTTTAGGGCCCCGTTCGCTTCGCTGAAAAAACAAGGCGAAACACTGTTCCTCCGGCTGATTTGTTGTGAGAGAAAAACATTGTTCTAGCTGAAAAAATAAGCTAAAAAGTACGGATTATAAGAGAAGCGAACATGGCCTAGGATAGTTAATGCTCAACCGGAATTACCCATGTAACCTTATTTATTGAAGGTGATCCACGCTAAGAGCATAAAGAGTTTCCAAAATCGACTCTCAATTTTGTTTTTTTGTCAGGATTGAAAAAAAACTCTTTCTGACAACTCCTTATCCCAACTTTCTATCTTTCAGCATTTGGAAAAAAATGATCGAGACTAGGACCAGGCATTCGATTTGAACCGACCATTTGGTTCGGTTTTTTGGTTTCTGGAAAAAATCGGTTTGTCAAGAAACAACGGCCGATCGGTTTGTTTTAGAAATGAAAATCGACAAGTTTGGTTTCGGTTTTCTAGTTCGGTTTTGCGGTTTAAACCGAGAAATCAGAATATAGTGTAAATTAATGCGTGGAGTCGTGGCCTTCACATTGGCAATATGTAGTGGGTGTTTTGGTGGGCTGGGCGCTTGGGCCTGCCCATTTTCTACTCCCACAACACCAAAGCGATGGCCTTCTCATTCACACACAAATAACACCAGATGCACAAACATATCAAACAGGATTAACTGGATACAACTTTTTTTTTGAAAATATGTTGTATCATAAAGTAGTACATTTATTTCATATTGTAGTTGTTATACTTAGTAAAAGTTAGAGAAAATTGACTTAAGATAAAACTAAAACAATTTACAATAGGAAAAAGTCTACTTAACCCCCCACCTTTCATACATGGCCTACTTCACCCTCGAAACCGTCTATTTTACCCCCTGAACTTTCCAAAACCGTCTATTTTACACCCCGGACGGGTTTTTGACAGCGGTTGCTACAGTAACAGCGGGTTACAGTAACGGTGGGTTTGAATTCCCTTTTTTTTTTATTTTCGGTGAATTTTTGAAAAACCATAGTAAATCATAAAATGAAAAATCTAATTTTATTGCACTCCACATGAGTATATCTATACCGTGAATATATAATACGGTATGCTTTAGTACAAATTTTTTTTGTAGCTTTAGATTAATTGGGAAATCCAATTTTTTCTGTAATTAATTAGAATTTATCTATAACTAAGTTATACATAGTCCAATGAGTACAAAATTTTTACTATAGTTCAAGCATACAATAATTAGCGTACCATAAAAATTTCACCACAATTGGACCATAGAAGCTGCAGCTATGAATTATTCCAATTAATTACAGACAAAATTAGATTTTTCAATTAATCTAAGGCTACAGTAAAAATTTTGTACTAAAGCATACCGTATTATATATTCACTATGTAGATCTACTCATGTGGAGTCCAACAAAATTAGATTTTTTATTTTATAATTTTTTTATGATTTACTGTGATTTTTCAAAGATTCACCGAAAATAAAAAGCAAATTCAAAACCACAATTACTGTAGCAATCCATCGTTACTGTAGCAATCCGCTGTCAAAAAACCGCCCGGGGGGTAAAATAGACGGTTTTGAAAAGTTCAAGGGGTAAAACAGATGGTTTCATAGTTGAGGGGTGAAGTAGACCATATATGAAAGGTGGGAGGTTAAACAGACTTTTTCCATTTACAATATGTTGATCGATATATTGTCCGAAATGCCCTAATGCTCCCTCATTTTCCTTGTATAGGACATGTTGGGATATGAAAGTGCCACCAATGATATGTGAAATGCAAATCTATTGACACAGTTTGTAGACATCACATTCACATATATACATATAGAGGCTATTTGGATGTATAGGGTTATTAATTGTTAGCCGACTAATTTTTAGCTCTAGTCCATCTAACTAGAAGACTAATAGATGAACTAATTTTTTTAGCTAAATCTCTAACTAATCGTTAGCTAACTAGCTTGTCAACACCTAACTAATTTAAGCTATTTTGTAGTCCCAAATAAAAAATAACCTAACTGATCTAAACAAGTCCATAGTTTGACTGATGGTTGATGAACGGTTACACACGTTAGACTATTTCAGATCTCACCGATTTACACGAGAGCAACTCTAACAGCCTCGGTATACACCTCCGTGATGCCCGATTTACCGATTGTAGGGGAAACAAGAAGTGCAAGTATTTACTACACTACGGGGACAATTACGCGCGGACACTAGCTATTTAGGATATTCATTCATGATGGTACTTGCATGCTCCCATTTCTTCATGTGTATAATCAACGTAAGATAAGTCACATCCAACCTGTATACTTGCATAGAAAAGTACAGCATCTAAGCATGATTCACATGACGCAAACGTGACTAGGCGATAAGAGAAAAAAATACAATTAGAAGAAAAACGTGACAAATTTAACAAATAAATAAAATTAACAGGAATATGTTACCGGTGCTTTACTGCTTTCTTGTAGTACTCCCTTCGCCTCAGACGTTTTTTTTTGACTTTCGGATATCGCGTTTGACCGTTTGTCCTATTTAAATTTTTTGTGTAAAATATAAAATAAATAAATTATTAGTAAAATATTTGTAATGATAAAATAAGTCATAATAAAATATATGATATTTATATAAAAAAATTAAATAAGATAGATGGTCAACTGAAACGACATTTTATAAAAAAATTAAATAAGATAGATGGTCAAATAAACTGATACGATTTTTTTTTTTGGACGGAGGGAACGAGGCGATACGAATTACGAAAGCGAGCAGGCATGGGCGCGAGCTTATCTCTCCACGTCACTCTCAGCTGCGGGTCCAGGAAGAGAAGTACAAGCAGGCAGAGCAGAGCAGCAGCGTGAGCTGCTTGTGCGCTTGTCCAAGAATCGCTCCCACTCCCGGCTGTCGGGAGAGCGGAGCGCAGTGCGCAGCTCAGCCAGCCGATTCCGCTTCTTGGATGCCGATGGCCGCGGCGAAGGCGTTGAGGGAGGTGGCGAGGAGGAGGGGGAGCTGGGCGGCGGAGGTCGGGCGCCGGTGCTTGTCCAGCGGGAGCGCTGGGCCGGCGGCGGTGGCGGAGCGGAAGGAGGGAGGGAAGGCGGTGAACCTGTTCACGGCCGTCAACCAGGCGCTCCACATCGCCCTCGACACCGACCCCCGGTGAGCATGCGTGCTGATCCCCTTCTCTGTTCGTCCAATTTCAGCTGAGCTGCGGTTGAGATAAGATAACGAACCTGGCACGTCCGGACGTTCCGATTCGCTTTTCAAAGTGAAATCCCTCAGTTCCGGAATCCACTTCATCTAGGAGTGGTAAATTCATTCACTTGCGCGATTTGCACGGAGTTCAGTCAGCTGAGGTCGGTTTCCGTTTCCATTTCGACAGCGCTTATGTCTTCGGAGAGGACGTTGGATTCGGCGGCGTCTTTCGCTGCACCACAGGTCTCGCCGATCGGTTTGGCAAGAACAGAGTGTTCAATACGCCGTTATGTGAGCAGGTGCAGCTTTTCACTTAGTAGTATATCTTCTGACGCTTATGCCACTTTTATTTACAGCAATATCTCAAAATTCAGTAGCCAGATCAGGCTGAACCTTCATTTTCTTGGTTCTGAAATACTTTACTGAATTCTGATTGGTTTCGGAGATGGGGGTTGCATCTAGCTAGCCTAGTTATCACTTTTGATGTTACACCTTCATTTTCCTGACCAGTTTTGCTCAACAGGGTATTGCTGGATTTGCCATTGGCCTAGCAGCAATGGTGAGTTACCTACGATGTTTTACTCTTTTATGTAATGATTGTATGCAAATTGTATGAGGAACCCTCCTGAATTGATTGTTTTTTGTAAATTTAAAGCACAACATGTAACACTCAAGAAAGTAGTACAATAGGATCAGAGGACCTTTAAACCAAAGAAAATACAGATGAAACTAATTTATTCAATACAAGATGGTCCATGGTAGGTTTTGTGCATGTTGCAAACGAACACTTTGATACTAATTATGGAATATAATCTGGGGCAGCCTGATTATTTTCTAATAGGATATCATTCTAGTTTGCTATGGCACTCTAGTCAGACTTGAGCGAACTTTATTGTTGCTTTAGCATACATTGTCACAAATCATTAATTCACTTATAACATATTTGTATTAGCATAAAAATGAAATTATCCAAAATAAACTTAAGATCTTGTACCTCTTTCGTGCAGGGTAATCGAGCTATTGCAGAAATCCAGTTTGCGGACTATATCTTTCCAGCCTTTGATCAGGCATGTCTCTGATTTCTTCCATAATTATCTTACATTCTTACCAAAGATATTTTTTTTCCTTCTCCCAGTTACTTGTACATTCAAAATACTTGCTCTGCTGGGCCACATGATATTATCTGTGTCCTAGGAAGTGTCTTATTTCTCTGTTCCAATTCCTTGTCGAGCTTTTTTTTCATTGTCAAATCTTTCTTATGCTGATTTTTTTTGCAAGGCTTCATTTCTTCAATTTGTTTATTTGAGCCTATTTATTTCCAATGTATATTCTTGCCGGATTCAGTGCATATGTTTGTTTGATCTATGTTTTGTGCCAATCTAATTCATACATTTTTTTTTTGTTTTAGATTGTCAATGAAGCAGCTAAGTTCAGATATCGGAGTGGAAATGAATTTAACTGTGGAGGTATTTCTTTTCTCTCAGTGTCTTGAATGGCCTATCACGAGGAATCAGCCGGACTATTATAAGTAATCATGCTGGACTTTCAATTTTCATTTGCATCTTTTGTAGGCTTAACAATTCGAACTCCTTATGGTGCTGTTGGGCATGGTGGTCACTACCATTCACAGTCACCAGAGGCTTTCTTCTGTCATGTTCCTGGACTCAAGGTTAAGTTTGTGGCCCTACCAGAATCCCTCTTCATGAACTATTATCCTTTCCAGGAATGAATGGATCCACCAAAAAAAGACATTTTCCTGAAATGCATACCTCCTTGATATTTTTCTGAACATGTCTTCAACTGTATGAGCAAGACTTGGTTGATACAGTTCAATGAATATTACTATCTGAGAGAAACATAAAACATACACCTCAGAATATTCGCTAAGAAAGTGAAGCCTTTCAGGTTGTCATACCGCGAAGTCCACGTGAGGCTAAGGGGTTGCTATTGGCTAGCATTCGAGATCCAAATCCAGTTGTATTTTTTGAGCCAAAGGTGAACTTTAAACATTCTGAGCTCTAGAAAAGCTTCATCAGAATCCCTGCTGTACTTTTCTGAGACAAAAACTACCTTTCCTCTCTGTAGTGGTTGTATCGTTTGGCTGTTGAAGAAGTTCCTGAGGAGGATTATATGCTGCCCTTATCTGAGGCAGAAGTGAGTATATTTGTATCACATCATTGTATTGTATTCGTCATCATTAAATCAAACTACTTATGCAATTTCTGTACTCTAGGTGATTAGGAAAGGAAGTGATATAACACTTATTGGCTGGGGAGCTCAACTTGCAGTGCTGAAAGAAGCTTGTGAAGATGCTGCAAAGGTCAGTTATTTCCATAATTCTTAGACAAAATTTCATTAACGTTCCCAAGCTGATATATATGGAAAAACCTGCCTTATTATAATTTGTGGTGAAGTCCAACAAAACCAAAATATTCCGGTTTGTTTTGTCTTGAGTCAACAGTGGCAAAGAAAGGTTATTACTACTTGATAATATTATCACATATTTACTGATACTGTGAGTATAGCACCAGATGAAACACGTAGTTGAATGCACATTCTCATCTAGAAAGACAGATTTTATTTTTAAGTACTAATTCAGATCAATAAAGAACCTGAAACTGAAATTTTGACTAAAACTGGCCATCCTGACATATATGTGATTTTGAAAAAAAAAATAGTGACAATTAATAGCAAGTGGTATGTCAGTATGTGTATTGTCCTCATAGCTTCTTGATTGTTTCTGTAAATTTGATATCGATCTCTCCGTGGTGTTCCTCAGTTTTCCCTAGACTACAGCTGACACTACTATATGTCAGGATGGGGTATCTTGTGAGCTCATTGATCTAAAAACACTTATACCATGGGACAAGGAAACAGTAGAGGCCTCGGTCAAGAAGACTGGAAAGCTCCTCGTATGCATCTCTTCTCACATGTCTATTTACATTAACTTATTCTCATCTATGCTATGCATGTCTCTACGAGATGCTACCATTCCTCATTCAAATTCTGTAACAGGTTAGCCATGAGGCTCCAATCACCGGGGGGTTCGGCGCAGAGATTGCTGCATCCATCACTGAGCGCTGCTTCCAGAGGGTAGTAAACCTTCCAGCTTTCTTACTGAATGGATGGATTATCTATCGAACATGTATAAAATAAATAATGTGTTTCCTCGTCGTGATGCACCTCTGATCACATTCATTGACAATTTGATCTGTTCCAGTTAGAAGCGCCTGTAGCGAGAGTCTGTGGCCTTGACACTCCTTTTCCTCTCGTTTACGAACCATTTTACATGCCCACCAAGAACAAGGTATGAATGAATCCTGACCGGTTACCAGTTGGAGTACCACCCTTTGCTATGCAGCTGTAATGTGATGTGTAACCCAAGTCTATTGCAGGTCCTGGACGCTATAAAAGCAACTGTAAATTACTGAACTGTTGGACCATGCCACTGCTGCCGTACATGTTCCTTGATCAATACAAGACTAGTTACACAACCTATAGATAGATGTGCACTGTTTGCACTGCTGGTCTGTAACCTGAGAATGAATATTCACAAACCAGCTTATTTATTCAATAATACAGCGATAAATAAAGTTGCAAGGTGCAAATTGTGGAATGATACATATATCAAAGTGTTTCCCTGCGAAATTCCTATGTAGTTGTCGCTTTGATCAAGGGTGTCTTCCATCGGAGGTGAAGGTTTGATGCCACCGCACTTGAGGACAGGACAGGAACTGGACAGCACCGCACGAGGCTCACGAGACGTCGCGGTCCCCGTCGCCGCCCCGTCGTGCTCTGGACGCAACCGCCGAACAGCCGGGCCCGGCGAGACGTGGATGTCGCGGGCGCCGCACGCGGGGCGGTGGCAGCATTGCCACGCGCGTGGTTAACACTGGACGCGCCCGCGCGTGCGAGGCCCAAGAAACCCACAGCAGCTGCTAGGTACAAGAGATCTCTAGGTACAATGGCAGACACTGGTGACGTCGCCGCCGTAGCTGCTGCTGCCGCCGCCGCCGCCGAGGCATCGGCGCGGCCGGCGGGCAACGCCCAGCCGCTGGCGGGGCGCGTGGCGATCGTGACGGGCGCGTCGCGGGGCATCGGCCGCGCCATCGCGACGCACCTGTCCTCCCTGGGCGCGAGCGTGGTGCTGGGGTACGCGTCGCGCGCCGACGAGGCGGACGCGCTGGCGGCGTCGCTCCCGCGCGAGGTGGCCGTGCGGGCGGACGTCTCGGACGAGGCCGGCGCGCGGTCGCTCTTCGACGCGGCGGAGTCGGCGTTCGGCGGCGGCGCGCACATCCTGGTGGCCAACGCCGGGGTGATGGACGACACGTACCCCGCCGTGGCCGACACCACCACCGAGGCCTTCGACTGCGTGCTCGCCGTGAACCTGCGCGGCGCGTTCCTGTGCCTCCGGGAGGCGGCCAACCGCCTCCCACGCGGCGGCGGCGGGCGGATCGTGGCCGTGACGTCGTCCGTAGTGGGGAGCCTCCCGCCGCGGTACGCGGCGTACACGGCGTCCAAGGCGGCCGTGGAAGCGCTGGTGCGGACGATGGCCAAGGAGCTCAGGGGCACCCGCGTCACGGCCAACTGCGTCGCGCCGGGGGCCACGGCCACGGACATGTTCTTCGACGGCAAGAGCGAGGACATGGTGCGGCGCGCCGTGGAGATTTGCCCGATGGAGAGGCTCGGGGAGCCCGGCGACATCGCGCCGGTGGTCGGGTTCCTCTGCACCGACGCCGCCGAGTGGGTCAACGGCCAGGTCATCCGCGCCAACGGCGGCTATGTGTGATGTGGGAGATCTTTAGCTTTTATTACAGCTTCTTGGTGTCGATCATCTTCTTCTTGTATCACGCACTGTTTCGCCATCTTGTTATCGAAGTTTAGCCTTATCGTTCTAGGCCCCGTTTAGTTGCCGGCCAAATTGGCGCCGCCTGAATTCTGGCGTACTGTAGCATTTAGTTTGTATTTGGTAATAATTGTTCAATCGTTGACTAATTAGGCTCAAAACGTTCGTCTCGCAAAGTACAACTAAACTGTGCAATTAGTTTTTGATTTCGTCAACATTTAGTACTCCATACATTCACCACAAGTTTGATGTGACGGGGAATCTTCTTTTTGCATAGTGCCAAAGTTTGGATTCTGTGGTAACTAAACAAGGGCCTAGCACAAATCGGAATGCTTTCTCGCGTCCAGAAATCGAAGCCCTGTGCTCTCCTTTCGAGGATCGTGGAGCGGCGGCGTCCGGCTTGACCTCGGCTCGAGGTCGAGGTCATTGCCAAGTCAGCCTGCAATCGTCACAGGAACACAGAGCCAGCCCATGGAGGCTTGCTCGTATACGACCGTAAATTTCTAGCCGGAACAGTATTTTCCTCTCACACCAAATCAGCCAGTAGTAATAATCCACGATCCAGCCAGCTAGCCGAACAACTAGGGCTCAACCCTAGTCGGTGCTTTCCCCACCCAGGCAGTGTACTGGTTTCAAAATTCAAATTTTATTATTCTTGAAAATAATTAGTTACCTATATGAGTTTGTTTTCTACATGTAGTTTGGTTATTAAAAAGTGGTAGAATACTGTTAAGTTGAAATGTGCATTTTATTAAAAATAGAAAGCGAACTAAACGCTCTCAGATTTGAGCTATTCTTTTAGCATATCTCAAGATCTATCAGACCAGCTTTTGAGAGATGCTCATAGGGGTCTTGCAAAAATAAAGGGTACAAAAATGTTGGATCCTGTGATTTTTCATGCAAATCGGTTGGTGGCCCGACCACGAGTGAAACTAAAGGATAGAAGGATTTTTTTTTCCTTTTATGTAGTAGTGGTAAAAAGTGCAAGCGAAAAGGATGGATAAAAACAGAAACATGTAAAGGAAAGAAAATGTCAGGCAAATTATTAAATGTGCCAAGCAGCGGCATTAACTTCCATATTTTCGCTCCTTCAGAATTATAACTAGTTTCTCAAGTTCTAGACTTCTGAGCACCTCAAGTCAACAATTTAGAAGTATGCAGTACTGAACTTTTGAACCAATGCACTAGTTTGAATTACATGTAATAAATATTTTCCCTCCATAAATGCAACATACAGAGGCATCCTAGGTTCAAGCTACTTAGCAACTTGTAATGGACATTGCCTATGCTACATGAACAGCTCAGTAAAAACAGCTTAAGCGTTAAGTTCAGGTACAATATCAATACAATTCATGGACAGTTTCATCCTGAGAACTATGGGAATTTGGTATTGATGGGCCTGAGGATGGCGAACATGTAAGTTTCCCTCTCAAGGAACAAATCTGAACACGAGGACTGGACTCTGTAAGTCGACAAACTTGTAAGATCCTTCAAGTGAGTTCAAATATATTGCTTCTCGGGGCTCCTCGCTTACTCCACTCTGCATGGCGTAGTCCAGTGCCATTTCATAGTCGACCTGGGGAACAATAAAAAAAAATAAACAGATGATTGAAATAAAACGTTTGATGGCCTAATTTATCGGCACTCCAGACGTTAAGCAGTTTTGCAATAGGAAAAAAAAAGCAATAACCAATATGACATGATTGTATTCCACATCAGCAACGAATTTATTCAATATACTCCCCCCGTTCCAAATTATAAGTCGTTTTGACTTTTTTGGTGCATCTAATTTGCTACGCATCTAGATATAATAATATGTCTAGGTACATAGCAAAATAGATGAACCAAAAAAGTCAAAGCGACTTATAATTTGAAACGGAGGGAGTATCATATATGACTTCTGAAAAGTAATGCAGACACATCTTGAAACAGAGCACACAAAAAAATGTGTCACAGACTCAGATTTATCTTTATTTTGTTTCTATATAAGTTTTTTCTTACCTGTTCAACATGCTGAGCCAAGCAGTCTCTAAATGTCATCTCTGTCACCTCCTGAGAATCTATCTTCTCAAGGAGTTCCTCATCTTCCTTATCATAGCGTGGCCTTTTTGGGGGAGATTGATCTGCAATTTCTACCAGAGTTTCCATAATCGCTCTTGCAACATCAGGAATATATCTGCAAATATAAAATAGTAAAATAAGATAAAAATGCATACAATTTGGGAGAACTTTGTGTCAGTGTGAAGCAGCATGTGAGTCATTTTGTTCATAATAAATTCACACAGAATGTAGCTTTTTCTACAAATAGGCCCCGTTCGCTTCGCTAAAAAAAACAAGCCGAAACACTGTTCCGGCTGATTTGTTGTGAGAGAAAAATACTGTTCCGGCTGAAAAAACAAGCCGAAAAAGACGGATTATAGGAGAAGCGAAGTGGTAAAGATTAGAGAAGACCAGTTTTAGTCCCAGGAGTTTAAGTTGCCAGCCTGAATGCCAGTAGTGACACTATATACCAACCAATATCAGCATTCAACAAGTATTATGGAATGTGTGGTTCAGTACAGCTTCAAAAACAGGAGCTTTGCCATAATTCTAATTATTATATACAACACTCTGACCCCCAAAGTAGAAAGTAGAAACTACCTGTTCAGGTTCCTTTTCCTGTCCTGCCGCTCACGAGCCTGAAGTTTCTTCACAATCTTAGACTTCAGTTGAAGACAGCACTGCTTCAGGGCTGACTGAAGGTGCAAGAGGATGATTAATATGTGGCCTTACAGACACAGTTAATCAGGGAAGTTCGAAAGTACCATAACAGCAGATGATATTTCAGTTATGTCATCCCCAATGTACTCCTTTCCAGTTCCTTTGAAAGGTATCTTTGTACTTACAATGCTCACAAAGACACCAACCTTATCTTGCTGTTGATTAATTTTGTAGCTGCTCCAACTAAAAAGAAGGATGGGAAAAGGTATAGAATAGGTAGAACATCTGATACTAATGATACACTAACCATTCTAAAAAAAAACTCACTTGATCCTTTTTTGAGCAGTTCTTGTGATGACATCAGCACCTTGTTAAAAAAGAAGCGGTATTCTGTTTGCAAACCTAAAAATATTTAGACCCTGAATGAAACAAAGATAACAATATAAGAATTTTAATCCCAGTAGAATCATGTAGTGATATCTTGTCAGTTACTCCCTCCGTCCGTAAATAGAAGGCGCAACTCCTCCAGTACCAGCGAGAGAGAGAACATGCATGCTCTGTGAGTAACGGTCTGTGCATGCGGCGAGGGAGGAGGCGAGGACGTTAGCAGGCACAGCAGTAAATGTTGCATGCGTGTGAATGGTGCCAGGACTCAGCCGCCTTGTATACTCGGACTATAGAAAAAAGTGGTTACGCCTTCTATTCACGGACGGAGGGAGTAAAAAGCAAAGGATGGAAAGAACATTCCCCATAGTTGGAGCTCAATGTAATACTGACAAACAATTATGTTTGCTCCTTAAAAGTTTAATCAGTGAAGTGGAAGAACTCAGTGAATCTAAAACGTGCAAGCAGCTATTAGTGTTTAAATCAGATACGCCCAGGTCTCAACACACAGCCAAAATTGCGAGTTCTCATTCTTCAAATTTTTAGAGTGGTTAAATTCATAAATTCTTTCAAAAGTAACATCTTTCTTTTTTGCAGGACAGGCCATTCTAGGAGTTTAATTCAGTATAGTATCTCAGACAAAAAGAAACTACCCTGGGAAATTTAAAAATGTTAGCATCAAATAAGACAGCAAATCAAATTGGAATAATCAACTATCATGATCTTTACAATAACTACCATCACACATTGAATGTTAGGAATTGTAACACCCCAGGTGTTTGTCACTAGTTAAGCAATGAGTTTAAGCTCAAACCTGACAGATCAAGTGGTGTTGAAGATGTCAAAGCCAAACCTATAAACATGAGCCCAACTTAAACTTGGATATTGCATCCTTGCCTACATATAGGCCCTTTTCAAGATATATGCTTGGGTGGTGTGATTGGGATATCTTCATGTGTCTCACATCAATATCCATCTATATTGATCCATGGAAAAGTTTCATAAAGTTTGGAATAAAAAAGTCACATGAAATGATATATCATATCTTTGCATGAATTGCTTTATCAAGTGGATGGAAACCTATGAAGTCAACCACACCTTGGTACCTTGCTCAAACAACTCTACTTGCACTCATGAACAAAAGTTATGAAGGGTTCATGTTGAGCAGGTGGCCAGAAAATGCTCCAATAGATCAAAAAGGGTGATTTAAGCTTTATAGTGATGCTACTTTGACTTAGTTTAAACTGCACCTTAGAGTGTTTGCATGGCAGTGGAACCTAAATAAAAGTTGGAGTCCATGTTATGTAAAACAAACTTTATGTTTGGACCAAGAGCTAGATCAGCTTGTAAGCAAGTCAAACCAAGGCTCAAACTATGAATCAGCAGCTGTTTTCAGCACTTGAAATTTGGCTAAGTCATGGATGACTGAATGCATGATTTCAGTTTTCATGTACCCCACTTTGGAACCTTGTATCTCCCAAACCAGGAATAAGTAGACTTTGAAGCTTTAATAAAAGTTGGAGCTGGTATGTAGATCTACAACTTTTATTAATAGAGTTTTTGCTAACTCGTCGTGGTTTAGGAGTTACAGAGGCACGAACTATGAGTTTCAGTGGTATGTTTGAGGTAGAATTGGAAATTTGATTTTGATGAACAGCGTCCGACCGTGCACAGAATGCTCGCGCCACGTGGCCTCCCGTGCCTGCGCCGCTCGCCACCTCGCCATCGCGTGTCGTTTGGGGAAGCCGAGCCCGAGTCTGCCTCCTGCTCTCTCCATTCACTCTCTTCCTCTCCCTTCCCATTCACTCTTCTGCTCTCCCTCGGTCTCTCTCACTATCTCCTGTTCGGCATGGCCGAGCAGCTGAGCTGCTGCGTCGCTCGCTCCTCCATTGCCTAGACATCATCGAGCCTCCCAGCACCGCCTCCGCGTCTGCTTCCGGCGCCTCGACCGCCTCCCCAACCCTAGCAGCGCCGGCTTCCCATTCACCGGCCGGCGAGCAGCAAGCAAGCGTGTTGGTAATGATATTAGAGTCTTTCACTCGAAACGGTTTAAGGATATTGATTGTGTTTCTCATCTACTTTTCGCTATAATACGTGTGAATTGTGATTGCAACGTTTTTACCATAATTTATGTGATTCTAGTATGTGAATGCGGTGCCTTTTGGTTCATTTTCTCGCCCCATCTATAATTTATTTGACTCCGTCACTTCCGTAGCCACGCCGGCCGGCCGCAGGAGGTCGCACGGAGGGAGGGGAGGGGGGCGGCCGCAGCCGCCGCCAGCGCACGCCCGCGCTGGTCCACCGCGTAGGGCCCACACCACCCGCGCTGCGCCGCGCCGTGCCCCGCGCGCCGGGCGTGCCACGCCGTGCTACAGGGCCCGCCGCAGCAGGCGCAGGCGCAGGTGCTGCGGCCCGTTCCCATCGTCGCTTCGGGAGGGAAGGAGAGAGAGAGAGGGGAAGGAGAGGGAAACGGAGGGGAGGGAGAGACATGCGAGGGAGGAGAACGGAGGCAGAGAGAGATAAGGCGCTATTTTGTGTGGACGGCATTTTTTTGGGCGATGTGGATACGCCATAGTTTTAAATAGCGGGCTAAGGTGTTTAGCGGTATACCTCTAAATCAGCTAATAGCGGAGCTAAATCGGGCTATAGCGGGATATGGTGGCTAAATTGTATATGAACACAAATAGCGACACCCTACCTTAGAAGGCTATAGCGGGCTATAGCGGCAGCTATAGCGGGAGATTTAAAACATACGCCGAACGATTTTGAAGCGACATGGTGCTTCTCCCCTGCCGCGGCCAACCTTGGCTTTAACGGGGGAGAATATATAATGTGTTTGAGGTCCTGGAAATTTTCAGTCATAATCTATGAGGCCCATTTTGATTGCCCAGCCCACTATGTTAATTTGTGTGCAAGCCCATTCTCAAGGCACAATTGAATGGATGCAACAGTAGTATTGTTTTACATAAAGTTTGGTAAAAATATATTTTTCATCCTCAAGTTGCACGTAGGTCTGATTTTCAATCCTCCTTAACTATAAAACCATGTAACAGACATCCTCATTGTTCAAACTGGATAAATTTAGTCCTCTGACCGGTTTCAAAGGTGATGTTCTATTTATAATAAATAACAGTAATAAAAACCTGGTTTGATCTCTATAAGTTCATAATTAATTTATTTTAAACCGCAAAAATACGAAACTAGTTTCAGAATTCTTCTAAAACTGTCATATATCTACTGATACTCTGATTAGAGTTATTTGCACCTTATTTGTCTTAGATAAATAATGAGCATGTCTACAAGCACTAAAGTGCAACAGAAACAAAATATCCAGTTTTTAGAAATATGCAGACAACATTTTTAGAAAAAAAAATGATACCATCCGTGCACGCTGGAAGATCGTCCGTCAGTTCATAGTGACAAATCCTAAGTTCAAACTTGAGGTTGCTCAGGTTGGGGGCGGATTTGTGTGAGGATTGTTCTAGGGTGTTCCTAGAGACTTTTGGGACTCATCTACCAAGATACATTGGCTTGGTTGTGCTCATGTGAATCTCTAGGTCATCAATGGCTAGGTTGCCAATGGTAGGTGTTTCTTGGGTGTGTATATTATAGAGTAAGAACTCACTAATCCATGGGCAAGAGCTTTTGTAGAGGTGACCTAGGTTGGTGTAGAGGTCGATTTTAACCTCATTCCCTTCTCCTCCTTGCTTTACCCTAGCAAATATAGATGAACTCAAAGCTTGTTGCAGCTCGGGGGAGTTCGTCCCTGCCTTCTTCTTGGTATCTTTCCTCTTCTTCTTCCTCCAAAACTTGTTGGCTTAGAGAGAGAGAGAAGAAGAAGAAGAAGAAGAGGAAGAGGGTAGTGGAGAGAGGGAGTGTGCCACTGGTGTTGCGTTCATGCTGGTGCTCCACATTTGTTGACGGATGGGCCAAGAAAGCTAAGAGCTAGAAAACTCAACTATGCATATCTATATTTTGGCAGACTGTCCGGTGTCTCTATCATACTATCCATTAGTACATGGCTCTGATAGACTACAATAGGTTTGACACAGACAGGCCGTCCAGTGATCATTCGAACTGTCTGCCACTGCACATCACCCGCCAGAGACTTAGTAATACTTAACGCCTAGTTTTGCAATTAAGGTTTTCATGATGCAATCATCATTAATTCATGATGTTGCTACTTAGCAACATATGCACATGGGTTGTTTCATCCCCGGACCATTTGGCCTGGACATTTGAAAAATGTTTCTTAGTCATTGTATTACCGTACCTCACTGATTTTTGTCCAATGCTCCCACTACTATATATGAGATGCAGGCTATTCAGTGAAGTCTTGTTTCGCTATTTTCTTGATTATTACTTCGTGGTTTCTTTTTTAATCCTCCCGCCCACTTGTTTCCTTGCATCACTAGGACCAAATAGAAAATGTTTAATACATCTTAGCACACATATTAGTTCTAGTGTGTTGTCATCATTATTTTTTTTTTATAATTGTGTTGTCATCATTATCACTAAAACTACGATATATCATGGCCATGGACACATCCTTATTGTAGACATTTTTGTTCTACCAGTTTGGGCCCAAACCAGGTGTAAAAATAGTGGACTCATAGGCCATCCAAGCAGCTAATTCTAACTTGAGATGCTATTTGCCTATAATGTTTTCTTAGGTCAACGACGGGAGGTTTCGAAAACCCTACCTGATATATTAAGTCCACAGATGCCATACTTATATGAAACACTCCATCTGTTTGTGTCATGGGGTAGTTAGGTGCATGCTGGTGATGTGCAGGACATCGTCCTCACCCTCTCCGGCTAGTGGCGAAGCTAGAGGAAATTCAAGGGGGTGCACTTGCCTTGTGTGTGCATAGACTTATGCCATTGAGGGTGCATATATAGTGAAAATTTGGTCACTATAAGGCATTTGCACCTCCCAGATAGACTACAACTTCGCCCCTATCTCTGAATACTATCGTGAAGGTTGCTACCTATTGTATCTCTTGTTTCTGCCTTTCTCTACGGTCCCCTCTCTGCACTTCTGAATTTGTTGTAACCTTGTTTCCATGAATCAAAAGCGCTTCTCCTATGCCCTAATGTCCTAGAACATTGGTGGCCTTTTGCCTGTAATGTGGCACCATTCTTCTTACCCTTAGTTACTTTGTGGAATAGAAGAGAACTTGTCCTTAGTAAACAAGAAAACTTGATAACTTGATTTGTTTGTAGAGTTGTCCTAAGGTCTTGATTGGATCCAAAATTCCAACCCATCCAATAGCTAGTTACTAGAAACTAGAATAGGCCCCACTCTAATCTCCAAATAATAAGACAGCCAACTAGTTAATATTCTCCCCGACTAATACAACTATTCCTTTAGCAAGGTAGGTCTAAATAGAGCCAAAGCCAAATTGTCTCAAATTAGACCAAGTTCTTATATAGTAAAGAGTGTCAATATTTATAACACCAAATTGTACCATAGATTTATTATCATAAATAATATCTCCAATAGTGTATTTGTTTGGTATTATTGTAATGCTCTTATATATACGAGTACAAAGCTAGATAAACTTAAGATAGTTTGAGTTTGGATGACTCTAAAAATCAAAGTAT